TCTAAGGCATGATCATTGCAACTATACACAGATCCTCCTGAGGCAGGTTCATAATGATGGAACCATTCTCTTCTTGAGGTCATGTGATATGTCGCTCCCGAATCAATGAGTCATATATCTGCAAATCTTTTTCTGCTTTCCACGGTGGTTGACGCTTCACAGCATAGAGCATCTCCATCATCTGAAGTGTTTGCGGTATTGCCTTGTGGATTGGAGTTTTTATTTAGACTCCAACAATCATTCTTCAAGTGACCCTTCTTTCCACAGTGGTAGCACTTTAAATTCTTCTTGCTCCTCGACTTCGATCTACCATGTTTATGACTGCTGCTTTGGCCACGTTCTGTTGATCTCCCTCTCATCGTTGTCAACGCTTCTGCTTGTTGCAGATTTACTTGTCTGTCTTCCTTGTTCTTGTGCCGATTTTCTTCTTGTAGAACAACAGCTGCAACGTCATCGAAGACTAGACTGGTGACATTACTGTTTGTCAAGTTGATGATGAGTTGATCATATGAATCCGGTAGACTTTGAAGTAGAAGTTCAGCACGTTCTTGTTCTCCTATTTTACAGCTTAATGATGTAAGCTGAGAAAATAAGGTGTTCAGTGTATTTAAGTGCTCCGTCACTGAAGTAGATTCTGGCATACAAAGAGTGTACAATTTCCTCTTAAGGAAAATTTTATTGTGCAGCGATGTGGCCTCGTACAATTTAATGAGATGATCCCATATCTCTTTAGCTGTCTTCTTCTCCTCGATGCTTGACAATACTTCATCTGCTAATGCTAGATGAAAGTTTGTCATAGCATTCCCGTTCATCTCGTTCCATTTGATGTCATCTGCGAAATCCACTGGCCTTTCATTGATAGCCGCTAGACACCCGTCTTTCCTTAGGATGGCCTTCATCTTCAATTTTCACAATGAAAAATTTCTCCCATTGAATTTTTCAATATCAAATTTCGTTGCCATAGCTTCTTCTACGGATAGCTCCCACTATTTCACTATTGTGAATAGTTCTCTGGAACCTTCAAAGAATGGGTAATAACTTCTTATTTTCTTATGTTGGAGGATCCACCTTTTGGTGGCAACCACAAGACAATAAGCAGATATTACACACTCTAATCTAGCTCTGATACCAATTATTGCGGAAGACGGCTATCGGATAGAGCAAAATCGCAACTGATAATTTGAGAAAATAAAAATGAATATAAAAGAGACACAAAATTTACCTGGAAAACTCCTAAAACTTTAGGGTAAAAACTACGGGCAACGGTATAAGAATTTCACTATGAGAAAATAGGAATTACAACCTCTCTCGATCTACCAAGGAGAAAATAATGATAATTCTCTCTAGATAAAAAGGAGAAAACAACTCTCAAGAAACTCTCTAAAATCTCTCTAGTATTGGAAGAAAGCTAGAATGCTTTGGGATGGTTTTGAAGCTAAATGAGCTATGGTATTTATAGTTGAAGCTTTAAGGACTAATTTGTAAATACCCTAAATTACAATGACTAATTGCATAGTTTTACCATCCAAAATTTTCAACAATTTGGTGGCCAAATTTGACCAATTTTGCCTCCGCATTAATGCCACCAAATTGCCACCTATAATGTTGACAATTGATGCAATTTGGTGTACCAATTTTCAATAATTTCTTCTTCAGAGGAAGAGGATCTTGATACTTTCTACAAGAAGTTTGTTCAGTCAAGGATCAATGGGGTGAAAATAGGAGCTAAGTGGTACCATTATGACTTATAGACCTACTGGTGCAGGGAAGAGTCATACAATGTTTGGGTGTTCGAATCAGCCTGGGATTGTTTATAGGTCATTGAAGGATATACTAGGAGATCTTGAGGAAGATGACAATGGAGGGGAAAGATCGGGGATTGGGACTTCTGTTCGAGTTACTGTTTTGGAGATTTACAATGAGGAAATTTATGATCTTTTGTCGAGTAATGGTGGAGGTGGTATTGGATTTGGATGGTCTAAAGGCAATGGATCTAAGGTGAGTTTCATTTCATAAAGTCTCTTCTTGATTACTGGAGTTTATTTGTTTTCAATTTCTTGTTTGTTATTGGTGATTTGGCACAACATTTTGCAGTGATCATGTATGATTTAAGTTGATTTACATCGATACATGTATTGTCGTATCGAACACATAATCGAATGACATTGAGATGCTATGAGTTTAACTTAATGTATGTCATCAATTGTAGTTAATTTCCGTGTCTCGCCGTATTTGCAGGTGAAACTAGAAGTAATGGGGAAGAAAGCCAAGAATGCTACTTTCATATCAGGAAGTGAAGCTGGAAAGATTTCAAAAGAGATTCAGAAAGTAGAGAAGAGAAGAATTGTCAAAAGCACTCTCTGCAATGAGAGAAGTTCCAGAAGTCACTGCATGGTATCAAATTTTTCTACATCTTTTATTATTATTAAGTCCTGTTGATGATAAAAAAAACAATATTTTGTTTCAATCATCACAGATAATTCTTGATGTTCCAACAGTTGGAGGAAGGCTTATGCTTGTGGACATGGCAGGCTCTGAAAATACTGATAATGCAGGTCAAGTCGGATTCGAGACAAAAATGCAGGTAACATATAACTTGAGTGCGTGATGGTGATGTTGAACTCGACGTTTCGTTTTGTGATTACTTTGAATGTGCTGGAAAAATTGCAGACCGCGAAGATAAACCAGGGAAACATAGGACTGAAAAGAGTTGTTGAATCCATTGCAAATGGAGACTCTCATGTGCCTTTCAGAGACAGTAAATTAACAATGTTGCTCCAGGTAAAGTTCATGTTCATTTTCGAGTTCAACGCTACCGAGATCGAGTTTCATAGGCTCACAAAGTTCTTTTCTGTTTTTTTTTTTTGGTTTCCCCAGGATTCATTTGAGGATGATCAGTCGAAGATTTTGATGATACTATGTGCCACTCCTGATCCTAAAGAGATACATAAGACAATTTGCACCCTTGAATATGGGGCAAAAGCAAAGTGTATTGTGAGGGGCCCTCATACACCATTGAAGGACAAAAATGAAAATTCTTCATCAGATGTAAAATTGGGATCTAGGCTTGCAGCAATGGACCAGTTCATAAATAGACTACAGATGGAGAGCAAGCAGAGAGAGGGAGAAAGAAGAGGCGCATAAAGCACTCGTAAAGAAAGAAGAAGAAGTGGAGGCACTACGATCACTTCTGGAAGTGAAGGGTTCAGGTTCTGGTGCAACTGAAGATGAAATCAACTTGAAGGTAAACGAGCAGACACAGATGTTAAAACTCGAGTTGGAGAAGAAACTGGATGAATGCAAGCGCATGGCAGAGGAATTCATTGAAATGGAAAGGAGAAGAATGGAGGAAAGAATCCTGCAACAGCAAGAAGAAGTTGAGATGCTACGAAAGCGGTTGCAAGAAATTGAATTAGAGTTATGCAGTTCGAGGGATCGTAATGGCGACTCGAGGGATCATAATGGCGACGAGAATGAATCATCAAATGAGATGGATGGAAGCGGCTTTGCCAAAAGGCTAGTGGGGATTTATGGTGATGAAGTTCCCGGGATGGTAATGTCGATGGAGCTGGACATGAATGATCCCGAACCATTTATTCACGATGTGAAACATGTGGACAAAAATAAATCGGAAACCAATTTAAATCATCGTGGGGCTGCAAATCATGATGGTTTTACCCCAGTGTTTGGTGCAAAACTAGGCCTCACCACTGTATATGAGGAAGAAGAAATAGCAGAGGAGGATGAAGAAGTGGAGAAGGTGATAATAGAGGAGAAGAGGATATGTTCGAATGAGAAAGATTTCGGTTCAGCACCTAAACAGCCGGATTCCGATACATCGAGACTATTAAGAATCCAAAACATCTTCACCCTTTGTGGGAACCAAAGAGAGCTTTCTCAGATATTCAGAACTCCAACACCTGCAAAAGTAGCCATTACTGAAACCATTGATCCTCACTGGTCCTCTGTTATGGTAGCTTCTGACATTGGCTCTGTTGTGAAAAGCTTGAACAAGTAACACAGCTGCTTTAATGGCAGAATCCTCGAAGGAGAACCAAATCCCTTGTAATGAATGTACTGATGGTCAGATTGATGTCTATGTGAAATGGAAATCATCTGGGAAAATCCTGGAAAGTTCATCACAATAGTAAAGGTTACAAAGGATGCGACACTTGCGGATCTCCGGAAGTTTATCGATATCTATCTCGATGTAGATAATCAAGCTTTCACTTTTCTAGTGCTTGGAGTAAGTAATTGTTAGAACTCAATTCGAAATACCGTCTTTGAACTTCAAAATACATATTTATACTTTGGCACCGTGCAGGATCCCAACGGGATGACCGTACCGAAAGAGAATGAAGTCATTGTGAAGGCCAGTAAACTGCCAATATGCAACAACGGCTATCTGGCTTGCTTAAGGCCAGCAAAGGGCCTGCAGATAACAAATCATCTTCCATTGAGTCCACTACAATTGACTCCATTACCGTTGACTCCACTGGAAAACAAGCTTCCACTCACCGCAAGCACTCGCTTGTCGAACCAAGGTGACGATTTATTGCCTCAGCTCGGGACCACTCCCTTTATCACTGGTCAAAGAAGAATGTAAACATAGTATTTGCTCTTTTTTTTTGTTCAGTTGAATCTCATGAAGTGTGTATAAGTTATCAATATGTATAAATATCATTCAGTGCGTCTTCTTCTGGTTATGGATTTAAGCTCGATTTCCATAGTCTTCTTGTTTAACAAGCCATTAAATCATTTGAACTCGATCTCTCTTTTCATCCGTTTGTGTGTATATATAAGCAATCATTCAAGTGAAGTTGAAATCATAAACAATTATGAGTATCTTCTTCTGGTTATGGATTTAAACTCGATTTCCATAGTCTTCTTGTTTAACAATCCATTAAATCATTTGAACTCGATCTCTCTTTTATCCAGTTTGTGTGTGTATATATAAGCAAATCATTCAAGTGAAGTTGAAATCATAAACAATTATGAGTAAGTCATTCATTATTTCACGGTTTAGAAGCCAAAACAGGACAATGGGAATTCAAACATACGAATAACACAAGGACACTTACTCCATCAAGCCTTCATATCGTCCAAACTGAAATTCGCCTGCTGAATATAAGTTGGTTAGTTGATTTTCACCACACTATTTCGATAGGCAAAATATATAATACATTCGACACGAAAAGCGACCATGTTAATCGAAGCTGAAGAAAACTTTTCATCGAGGCCAAATGCCATCGCATAGCAAAATTGATCTCTTAGGACGGTTCTTACCAGAAATTTGTGGTTCTCCTCAAGAAATTGAGGGAAAGTGGAGCAAAATTTCTCCATGTCTGCATTAACATCTCCTGAGCCAGATATTACTTCCATGAACTTCTTCCTATCCGGAGCCAGCTTCATTGCAACCTGTAATCGAAACAATTCACTAAGCAATGTAGCTCAAGTAACTCGATACTCAACTATCCATCCCAAATCCTAATGAAAACATTAAGTACCAATTATAATTGAACATCTGCATTATTTATCAAGAAAGAGATGAATCAATCAAAAAGAAACTTGATCAAGCAAGAATGAAAATATTTACTGTGAAACTGGAACTAGCAATCCAGCCATGAAACTTCTTCAGGGTTTTGCCATAGGAGTCAGTGCAACATTCTATCATAGTCCAATCTGGATGTGAAAGTAAGTTGCGGAACAATTCTACAAGGAAATCCATCGCTCTGAAAATCATCGAAAATGTAAATTATAAATTGCGAGACAGAAGGTAATGGAACATATGAAAGAGAGATTTCTGCATTTTCCAATTGGAAATGTTATGTACCGTGTCAACCAAAGAAGACCATTGGTACAGCTAGATGAACCCATTGCGGTTTTACATTCAACCTCTTCTTTGACCATATTGTACAAGTATTTGTATTTAGTGGGATCAGTTTCGTATTTTTTTTCCCAACCTCTGAAAAAAGAATCAACAAAACAAGAGTTTAAAATTAACACTTCTTGGGAAAACGATATTTGTTTCATTGGACAGACATTAAAAGTCTTCGAACTTAAAGGACAGAAAAGGGAAAACAGCTATGATGACCACCTAGATACCCCATACACAGTTGTTCTAGGAAATTAACATAAGGGGAGAAGGAAAAATAAATACAAGTCATCAGTAGCATACTTGAAAAGTTACTCGGGAATAAATATCTTACCGATATGTTACCACCGACATCACTCTTTACAAGAGTCATAGCAGATCCAAACTTATCTGTAAAAGTAACATGGAGGGTTTATTTTTTTACCCTGTAAATCACATCAATCAAGAAAGAAAGCCAGTAATGCAGGCCTGCAAGGTAAACTATAAGCCTTCAAAATCCGAAGATGTTGGCCTTTCACTATCTATCGCACACATGCACACATCGATCAGATCTAGTTTGGAATGCAGTCTTAGACAGCTTGAAAATCCTACCAAAGGATTGGCAGCTAAAACTATCAAGCATTTGTCTACTACCACATGATTTATCATCAAAGAGCATTTCGATATCGAATCATTTGTAATTATTTCACTCTTACAATTCCTTCCGAGTCAACTTCTCCACTAACAAACATGAAGAAAGATTTTTAAATCGAATTCGATACAAAAAAGTTAACTAATCTAACAAGCTTAACACATAAGAAACTTAACCCGCAATCAGAAAGCCTTGAAGATAACCAAAGGCGTGACAAAAACAAGCCTATAACTGGCAAAATCAACTTGCAGACTTCCAAATAAGGCTTAGCAAGCATTTCCCCTTCTGGAGATTTGATATGCTTCATTCCTTCCAATGATGGAGTAAAAACTGATCCTTCCATTGCTCCAAAAGGCTTTCAACATTTTTTCTTCTCTCTTCACTACAATAATCAAATTAAAATCAGCAATATTTAATTTAAATACATTAATATCCAAAACAGAAAAAAAGCCAGCCACTTTATGATCTCAGAATCACTAAAGTTTTAGACTTTTTACTAAAAACTAAAAAACTCAAATCAACAATCATATAAAAATGCAACTGATCCTATCATAAAGTGTTAATTTTGATCAGACTATCAACAACAACAACAAAAAAGATTGGGAGATCAATACATGGAACTTTACTGCTCTTAAACTGAAAAACCAAGAGAAAAATGGAGAATTTCGAGGAATTAAGCAAGAAATAAAAGATTAAATGTGGGTATAAGGCATTGATTCAATACTGATAAAGGTGAAAAAGAAGAACCTGGAGATATTTTTTGGAGAATTGGATTCAGTTGAAATATTGAAGACGAGAGGGGCACTGAATGAAGTACTCCTGGAGCAGAAACAGCTGCGCGTCGGTCGGTTGCACGTCTACACGTTTCAGAGTGTACACGTGGCTCTCTCTAATTGGAAGGATCAATTGGGTCCCAAAGTAAAACCTCGCCGGTAGATCTGAGCAAAATTCAACTCTATTAAAAAAATAAATTCAACTCTACTCGACTATAGACTATATACGGATTGTGTATCACTTGATAATTTGATTGTGCAAGTAAATTGGATTGCTCCTGAGTTATATCGACCCTCAATACTATTCATGCTTAATTTAGTCCCTTGACTTTGGTTCGTGTTATATCAATGTTTAAACAATGAGAATGGATAATTAACTTCATCTAGATCTCACGAGAAGTCAACCACCCAAGGGATGTTATGGCCAAACACATCCCTCATTCACGATTTGAGATGTTTCTTCACGATTCTCCGCCAATTCACTTGTAGGAGTTTATTTATAGAGACATTGAGGGACCTCCATATTGTAAAGCTCGTGTCATCTAGTTTAGTTCTTTAAAATTTTTCTTTTAATTTAGAACAAAACTGGCTTCTCTATTCGAGTCGATTCGATTAAAAAAACTCAAATTTAATTAACTCGATTCAAATAAAAGAATTTCAAATTCAAATCGAGTTATAAAATAGAATTTGAATAACTAGAAATATTTAGTAATTAATGGATTGATTTTCAAATTTGAATCAATCCCTCAATTTTGAGTGATATATGTATATCATATAAAAAAAAGAAGGAATATATATGTATTGTATATATTTATAGAAAATTGTTTAATTTAGAATTAGATAGTGTCATAATATTATAAATATCTACAATTAAATTTAAACAAAAACTCAAACAAGTCGATTTGGATCGAATTTTTTTTACTTGACTCGTTCGAATGTTGATATACCTTTAACAAGTATTTCGGTCGTGTACCCAACTAATTTATATAAAAATATTTAGGGGCTTAACTTGGATGGGTTAGGCTTATTCAAATTCCACAAACTTAAAAATTATTTTATTCGATAAAATAATAATTTAATTACAAAAATATAAAGATGTATTACAGTAATTGTCCTTAAATTTATAGAAGAATCTTTTCAACAAGGTCAAATCAAATATTTTTCATCTTAAATTTACTAAATTTAATATTTTTTTAAAGAAAATTAAATTTATCATGTCGAATTAGATTCAAATTAATTTATCATCTCTCCTTATTCGTATTAAATAGGATGAACCTTGAACCACTCATATTTGTGCTTTCTGATTAATTTTTGGAAAATGAAAACGTGAGAGAAAAATAAGCCCAAATACAAGCAAATAGCCTATACAAGGAAGATTGAAAACTTGATGAGCCCAAATCCACTAAAATCATCATCACCCAAATCAATAAAAGAAAAACCCTAGATCCGACGGTAGTAAACACGTTAGAAAACCCACTATAAATTAAAATCCGTTGTTAGCACCTTCATTGATTTCACGTCTGCCTCTCCAGTTCCCACACTCTCACACACCAACAGCAAAAAATGGTGAGTGTTTTTGTTTAATCTTTTAATGGAGAATATGATTCATTATTCCCATTCCTGTTTACGGGTTTTAATTGTTTCCCCCCTTCTTTATTACGCTTTTAGCCGTTCAAGAGGTACGTTGAGATCGGGCGAGTGGCTCTCGTCAACTACGGCAAAGACTACGGCAAGTTGGTTGTCATCGTTGATGTCGTTGACCAGAACAGAGTATGTCCTTTCTTTCTTTTTTTCAGATTTAATATAGAGGCATTTTAATTTTTTTTAGTCATTTGTCTTAAGCGTTTAGTGGATTTAAAATTATGAAATATGTGATGGGTTCAGCTTAAAGTTGTTTGATTAAGAGGAAACATGCGAAATTTAATGTGGTATGGCTTTAATTGATTTTTCATTTTAGGCATTTTAATTAGGTTTAATTTGATGCTAGGATGAATTGTGAACTTATAGTGGAATCTAGTTGTTTTGGTTATAAAGAGTTCGACTGAAATTGGGTTTTCTGTATTTTCCATGTTGAGTGTAATCTAGTTTGAAACATGGTATTCAAAGGAATCTGGGTTAAGTCATTGTATTTTAATGATTAAGCTTATTGTAGTTGTCTAACTTATGTTGCTCGGACTTGAGAGAATGCCGGATATCACTATATGGTTGACAGTGTGCTAAGTTTTATTATGTACGGGGATGCTTAGAACTGCACACTCACATCTACTTTGTTGCATATATGGGTCTGTGAAGGGTGTTTCAGTGGGAGGGAATGAAGAGTTGTGGGAAGTAGTTTAATACTACACAGATTGGGCCAGCATTTTTTTATTGTGGATTTTTCTCAGCATTTGTTAATCTACAACTTTTGTTATGACTTGTTGATTGTGGTGTATATGCGTGTTGAGAAAAGAAATGTAGTAAAAGTAATAATTGCATAATGACTTTAAGTTTTTATTTTTTGCTTATATATTGGTGTAGGCTCTTGTGGATGCCCCGGATATGGTCAGAGGCCAAATGAACTTCAAGAGGCTTACATTGACAGATATCACAATTGACATTCCCCGAGTTCCTAAGAAGAAAACATTGATTGATGCTATGGAGAAGGCTGGTAAGTTTGATTATAATTACTTTTGTTATCATAGCATTGTTTCCCTAAGTAATATTTCTTTATATTTGGCCGTATGCAATTGTTGCAGATGTTAAGAACAAGTGGGAGAATAGCTCATGGGGTAGAAAGCTGATTGTCCAGAAAAGAAGGGCATCTCTCAATGACTTTGATAGGTTCAAGCTTATGTTAGCTAAGATCAAGGTCAGTTTGTTGTGCCACTAACTCATTTACCCTTTTATGCTTAATTTCCCTTGTCAACATTTAAATTCTTTCTTGAAACTTTGACCCGAGCAGAAGGCTGGAATCGTCAGGCAAGAACTTGCTAAGCTTAAAAAGGAGAATGCATCTTGAAGTGATAATTATGAGATTGTTGCTACTTTTTCTTCAATATCCCGTTAGTTGTCTCGGAAGTGCATTTGCTTTTTCTATTAAATGGTTAAAGAACAGTTGAGGACACCTTGTTTGTTATATGACTGATTTTGTATTGAGTTTATTGCTATATATTGCTTGATTGCTGGTATTTGAATTGGCTCCATGAGAGTTATGTGTTGGCTGTTCATCTGTTCATCATTTGATGGCAGCAAGTGCTCATACCAACCACCAAGAGAAAGGAGTATAAAAGCATTGGCAAATGTCTTTCCGAACTTGTTTGGTTTAACATTAATCAATGAATTCGGCTACCGAAATAACCTTTTTTCAGTATAAATTAAAAAGGAAATCCATTTAAATGGAGACAACTGAGACACTTCATCTTTAAGCCGTCAACTTATTCTCACTGGTCTTGCTTTTGAATGGTGACAATAGAGAAAACGACAGAGCAGCTGCATGATTATACACTTCTTGTAAGATTATCAGCCTTAATGATGTAAACTATGAAACTCAAGACTCAATGATGAAAACGGGATACGAGCATGTCAGAATATGTGTTGGACACGGATAGTTTAAGTAAAATGAGATAAAGGAATCGAAAAGACAAGTACGGTCCGATGTGTGGCCACTACTTACACTTTTTTCGGAGTAATGCTGGCTGTTGGATTTTCATCCTGAGAGAGAAGATTCTTCAATGTACGAACTGATAACAACGAGAAAATTAGTTATTTTCGGATCAGAAACAATTGGAAAACTACCAAAGCTACAAAAAAAAAAACATCAGATGAAATAAATGCAATATTCTAGCTCTGGGATATTTTATTTACAGGAAAATTGCGGACAATCCAAGTAGCTAGTAACAGATTTTTGACAATGGATCGAATAAGGATGAATGTCAAGACCGGAGATAGTCGTGCATTTGGCATCCCACTGTCTATCAATGTACACAAGAAATGTAAGGCAATTACCTTTACTAGATGAGCCGTGGTTCGCAACCAACTCATCAGCCAGAGAACCGTTAATAATGACACCATCTGATTTGATACAAGGTTCGCTTGTCGCTGAGCTATGATTCTTTTTTCCGAACTTTAACAGACGCCAAAACCCTTTGGATGACTCCTTTACCTGAAGCTTATCCGACACTTCAGGAATAATTTCTAGTTTCAAGTTCTTAGAATCAGCTACACGAGCTCTAACACTCTCGGACTCTGTCACTGTAGCCTGCAATCTTGTTGGAGATGCTCTACTGTTCTCCGGAACTTCACTTTGTGGAGGTTCCGAAGAAGAGACCCGAGCAAATGGGCCTTCATCAGGTTTCCCGGTAACACTGGAACTTGTAACTTTCGATAATTCCTTCTTGGTGTTACTCGCATTAACCTTTTGAACCTGGAAATTTGTAAATCATGTAATCAACAAGACTGGAAATTAGGCATCAAACTTGAGAGGAAGTAATTGAGAACAAGGTTTCAATTTAATATGAAAACTCCTAAAGGCTAATCATCCCTTTTAAATCAAGTTCAACAAACCATACCTCATAAGCTAGTGATCTTTGTTGTATCCAGTGTATTTTATCAAGTGTGTCAACAGATGAAACCGGAGCACGAGGGGCAGCATAATCCGAAACCATCTTCTCGGTTTTCCTCCCTATTTTATTAAAGCCATCATATCCCTTCTGTACTGTTGCAGTTCCTTCTGATGAGTTTATTGTTGGAACAGAGGGCTTCTCACGTTCAAGCATCACAATGGTTTTCTCAATCACTGTTCCATCATCCCTGTTGACGTCGTATGAAACTTTGTCTGGGTTTTTAACATCAATGGTAGAAGAAATACTTCCATTCACCTTCTGAGTCATTTCATTTCCTCTGGACTTGCTGGGGGTAATATCGGGGGCTTTAGTTATCTTAATTTTGAGCTCTGGAAGTGATGCAGGGGGATCCGAGACAGATGATGCTGAGCTGTCAGATTGCACGTTGATGGCGCTGAGATACCATGAGTTGGCAGATCAGCGCAAAGGCGGGAATTGATTGTGACATGTTCCTCATTGGGGTCGTTTTGAGTATGTTTCAGATTTCAGTACTCTGATCGCCCCTATCACAGAGTGCCTCAAGGGGCGTGATTTCCAGTGGTCTGAGGAGGCAGAGGCCAGTTTTCAACTGGTCAAGCAGAAGATGACCGAGGCTCCAGTTTTGGCACTTCCAGATTTTGACAAAGTGTTCGAGGTAAATTGTGATGCATCTGGCATTGGCATTGGTGGTGTTCTGAGTCAGGCAGGTCGTCCGGTTGCTTTTTTCAGTGAGAAGCTATCGGGATCAAAGAAAAATTATTCCACTTATGATCTGGAGTTCTATGCCATAGTTCAGTCCCTGAAGCATTGGCGTCACTACCTAGTACAGAAGGAGTTTATTCTGTTTACCGATCATGAGGCCTTGAAGTACATCAATGGTCAACACAAGCTGAGTAGACGTCATGCCAAGTGGGTAGCATACTTGCAAGAATTCACTTTTACGCTGAGGCACCAAGCAGGGAGTTTGAACCGCGTCGCAGATGCCCTGAGCCGTCGTACCTTACTTCTCACCACCATGAGTACTAAAGTTGCAGGATTTGAGACGTTCACATATATGTATGCAGCTGATCCTTCCTTTGGAAGGATATTTCAGGAGGTAACTGAGGGTCACCGTCATGATTTTGTTTTGCATAATGGGTATCTGTTTCGTGGATTACAATTGTGCATTCCAGATTGTTCATTGAGGCAGCAAATTATAAGTGAACTCCATAATGAGGGACACTTTGGCCGAGATAAGACATTGGCCCTTATCTCTTCTGAATTTTATTGGCCCAAGTTGACTAGTGATGTGGCCCATTATGTGGACCGTTGTTATGTGTGCCAGCGGTCTAAGGGAGTTCTCACCAATGCAGGATTGTACACTCCCTTACCTGTTCCTGAAGCTCCTTGGTTCGATGTCAGCATGGATTTTGTACTAGGCTTACCCCGCACCCAAAGGGCCTCTGATTCTATCTTTGTTGTGGTTGACAGGTTTTCCAAGATGGCTCATTTTGTAGCTTGCAAAAAGACTATGGATGCTGACCGGATTGCCCATCTCTATTTCAAGGAGATTGTGCGTTTACATGGTGTTCCTCGATCCATCACTTCAGATCGTGATACTAAGTTCATCAGTCATTTCTGGAAGAGCCTGTGGGGGAAACTGAGAACGCAGTTGAATTTCAGTAGCGCCTACCACCCCCAGACGGATGGCCAGACTGAGGTGGTGAACCGAAGTTTGGGAAACCTTTTAAGGTGTTTGGCAGGAACGAAGCCGAAGCAGTGGGATTTGGCATTGCCTCAGGCAGAATTTGCCTACAACAGATCAAAAAACAGAACCACACGTTTAAGCCCATTTGAGATTGTCTATGGTCAGAACCCATCCGGGGTGTTGGACTTAGCCCCTATTCCACGTATAGGACGTTTCAGTCCTAAAGCAGATGAGATGGCAAAGTATCTTCGGGGCATCCATGAGCAGGTGAAACAGACCATTCATGAGAGCAATACCAAGTACAAGACTCGGGTCGACAATCATCGTCGTCAGGTACTTTTTGATGTTGGTGATTTTGTTTGGGCTGTATTAACTCGTGATCGTTTTCCTGTTGGTGAGTATAATAAGCTTAAGGATCGGAAGATTGGACCTTGTGAGGTCGTGCAGAAGATCAATGATAATGCTTACAGGTTACGACTTCCCAGTCACTTGAAGACTTCTGATGTCTTTAATGTGAAGCACCTGAGTCATTGTTTTGTGGATCCTGATGACACTACTCTGAACTCGAGGACGAGTTCTTTCCAACCCGGGGTGACTGATGCAGGGGGATCCGAGACAGATGATGCTGAGCTGTCAGATTGAACGTTGATGGCGCTGAGATACCATGAGTTGGCAAATCAGCGCAAAGGCGGGAATTGATTGTGACATGTCCCTCATTGGGGTCGTTTTGAGTATGTTTCAGTCTTTTGGCCATAACTTTGGCTACAGGTGTCAGAATCGCGCATAAGACCCCAATCCGGAAAGCTCTTTTCGACGTGCACGCTCTCCACATTGAGCTATGCTCCATGTGGCCTTTTTTTCAACCTCAAATTCTGCCTTTTCCCCTCCGAATCACTAGATTTAGTTATTTTTTACTATTTATGGTAATATTTCGATTGTTAATTAGGAAGTCAATTTAAATCCGATTTAGGCCGGATTTTTGGGAGATTTCTTATTTTATTTCGAATTTCAATTTAGAGTGATTTTCGGGATTTTGCTATTTTTGGCAAAATTCGAATAAAGACGATTTTTTTGCTATAACAGTCCGGCTTGTGGACTGCTTTTTGGATTGTTTTTTATTTTATAATATTTTATTAAACCCTAGAGACTTTTTTTCTCTGATTTTTGGGCGAATTTTCTCTTGTGAATCGTCTGTCGGAGCTAGCCTACAGAATAATCACTATTCTGTCTGGCGTCAGGAAGGGATGCAATCTTACTGTTATCATAGTTCACAATTGCTGATATTTTTCTGCTTTCAGGCCTTCGAAATACTTTTTTGGATGATGGCTCCGAGTTCCCTGGCTTCACTGAAGGAACACGTGTACTGCCATTTATCTTCGGCTCTGATAATCTCCTAATCCTTGCCATAGTTGCCTTTGCATCGGGCGTTACACTGCTGGTGTCTTTCTTCAGTACGGGCAGTGATGGAGCTGACTTGCTTACTTTATTTGCTCTGGAGTTGGTTCCGGTGTTCAATTTGCTCGGTTTGGGGGTCTTAAGAGAAGCAGGTGATCCCACAGGAGGAGTCCGGATGGATCTTTGTAGTGGCGATGACAATCCAGGCTCAGCATCAGTAAACTTTGATCCCTTATGAGAGCTCGGGGAAAGTTTCAACGGCATCTGTTTTCTGCTTTGTGCAGCCATAGACGACTGAGCAGGAATAGAGGAACTGCTTCTAGCAGCAATTCTCTTTTGTCTTTCCATCTTCAATGCTTCGAGTCGTCTAATCTCCGCCTCTTGCTGAAAAATGAATAAATAATTCACTTAATACACAACCCAAACTAGTTGTAAAGATAGTTGAGATTATACAACAAATATTCAAATTATTAAGTGTGCATGAAAAGCAGCATACTTTCTCCTTCTTCATTTTCTGAAGATCAGCCTTATAGTTTCTTAGCCTTTCAGCCCGGGCTTTCGCTTCATCTAAAGGACTCATTTTTGAAGGCTTTTCTTTCCTTATCGGCCCTACGGTCTTCTTTTTATCCAAAGGATCAGCAATAAGTTTCGGTTTTCGGATGTCCGGCTTTTTAGACCCCTTCATGCCCTCTTTATTTTGCTTATCCAATGAAGTACCATTTACAGCGCGAGCTTGCATTTCATAGTCCAAAGCAGGATCATAACCAATCGACCCCATTTCTGTTCCTCGCTGAGGCATCAAAGTTAAATCTTTTGTTTCATAATTGACATGACTTCCGACCCTGTTAGATGTAGTTCCTGCTTTCTGAAGTGACAACGAGAACTCAGAATCCATATTGATAGCATTGCGATTATCAGTTTCAACTTGAGTGACTGAGGTTGACCTGAAAGGAACTATGTAGGAGTCATCATCTGTCTTATTCAATGAACGTTCGAACCCATTAACAGCCAACGGATCCAAGTGTGAATTCATAAAATCCGACTGATTCTTTTGTTTATCTACTATAAAGTCATCATTCATAGAACTCCTATATACCCTCCTGCCATCTGCTTCCATATAATGTAAACCATCAATGAGAATCCTGCCATCAACCGAATGATCACCATTTTTCGAAATCAAAGAATGATCATTTGATGGTGCTTTAAGCATGCGACCTCCACTTTCATGCATGTTAGTTGTATTCCTTTCTTTGTATTGACCCATTTCTCGTCCACCAGAAACTAAAGGGTCTTCACCGGCTCTATTCGGTCTTCTTTTTCCTTGAACCTGCTTTCCTGTTGAAAAAATGCCTTGGTCCATCTTATGTTCTTCCTCTTCAGCACCTCTAAGTAAATAGTTTTGAAATGCTTGCCATTGTCCACCCATGTCTCCTTCCCAGAAATCATTATGAATTCAATAAATCAACGGGCTTCATTCGATTCCCTTTCCTCTTTGAGGATTTTAGAGAGTTCTTTTGCGCTGAATCTCCATCTTCCTCGTCCATGTCAGAGCCGGAATGCGACTGTGAATCACCATCCGAAGAGTTTCTCTTCTTTGGAGTGATATAATTAATGTTCCGAATGACCACCGTTCCAGGCTGCTTTTTACCTGACCTGCTACTCTTCTTTCTTGATTTCGGGCTCACTGAAGTTTCATTCTCCAGCTCCCTATCATCTTGAGGTTTTGCTCTCTCCAGCTTCCAAGCATCCGATCCATTCTGGCTATACATTGAATGTATTCTCTGAATTCTTCGACCATCATCGAGTTTCGGATCCTCCATTGATGGATAAGGTTGCTGAAAGAATGGACTAATACTGGATAGGGTGGGTAGTAGGACATGCCTTGCACGGCTATCCTTGAAAAGTTGGCATACCACCAGGTGGAGATTGGATAGTCCAGGGAGGAAACATGGGATGCGGAAACCAGGCCTGGAAATATTCTTGCCGAGCAGGGGTCTGTTGATCCATGGGAGGCTTCTCATATGGCGATAACGGAATTTTACTTATTTCAATCCATAATTAAAACAAATGGATGAATACCACAAAGCAAGAATATTCTAACTGAGATATCAATTATGTGGTAACCAGCAAAGTAATGAAACAAGTAACTACAGATGGCGAGAGTTTGCCAGTCCCGAGATCAAGTCCAAACATATGGAGTGGGCGGAAAATCGGAGCAAAACCGAAAACCAATGATAGTAGTGGTTTCCGTTAAATTATAAACAAGACCTTGTTTCAACATTGAGAAAACAAACAAGTGTCTCCGTTTTCCATAAGCATCAGAAACTAGGACCATCTAATGCACTGAAGCAAGGCCAGACAGATGAACATCAGTGCACATAATTACACATGGACGGAACATGCTGATAGATATATCAGTAAATCACGGATAAGAGAAATATTAATTTTCAAATTACACGAAAAGAGCAATAAAACTAAAAGTAACTCCCTTCGCTTCAAGAAGAAAATCGACAAGTTACTCAGAGATTGTAAGAATGTGTTGTGTCATAGAAAAGGAAATCTCGGAGAAATATACCTGTGCTTGACTCAACAACATATTTCCATTGTTTTCTGAAATTCCTGGCCATGCTCCCTTGAGCTCTTTCATAGCAGAGAAATCAGATCGCCCAGCCATTGCTTCAGTTGCTTCAATTTCAAGCCACTTCCCGTCTTCATGCTTTCTTTTCCATAATTCAATGAGCTTTACACAAGCATCCCTGCAATAAAGAAAAAGAGTTAATCGAGTATGCAATCGTGCATGAAGATATCTGCTTGAACAAAACTAAGTGCCATGTTTGGAATTCCAATTACCTCAAACGAGACGCTCCAAACCTTTCAGAAAACGAAATCAAAGGTGTCATCTCATCAATGTTAAAACCAGCAGCTACAGCACGTGCAAAGGCCATGCCTTGCTCTTTCTGCAGCACTGTCTTCCTTGTCTCAAGGACTTTCAAAAGTTGCGCTCTAGTAAAATAACGAAACAATATGTTAGATTATTCCAACAAATTAAACATTATAAAAAGTGATGGTATTCAGCACTATGTTCTTCATCGTCAGCATGACAAAATGTGACTTGTTTGTCTGCCCTTTTTAACTTTTCTTGTTCTTCTATATATAAGCATTTATTTACTCGGGCAAACCATGCGGTGACAGTTTGAGCTGTAAATGAGACGAGACAGATCGTGAGTTACTCGAGATCGGCTCGATCAAGGGTCGATAAATACTCGGATCAAATGGACTCGACTCGAGTTCTTAACGAGCCGAAACGAGCTATTTGATATTCGACTCGAAAAACTCGTGAGCAGCTCGAAAGTATAATATATTAAGATTTTATTTAAAAAAAAATATTATTAATATTTATGTATTGATTTTAAAAAAAATACAGTAAGATTTTCATGTATTTAAGGTTCAGCTTCGAGTTTGAGTTTGAGGCTTTAATCGAGTTAAGTTTAAGAATTTTTTTTATTTCGAGCCTTTTCGAGCTACTCACGAGCTTCAGTTCAGGATTTCGAATTCGAGTCGAGCTTGAAAATTTTAAACTAGCGAGTTTTCGAGTCGAGTCGAACTCAATTTCAGAGTTTTCGAGTTGAGTCGAACTCAACAATACTCGACTCAGCTCGTTTACACCCCTAGTGACAGTTGTACCCAAAAAAAAACATGCAGTGACAGCATTTAGCTAATTAACCATTATAAATATTAGGAGTATATACTGAAGAGAAAGAAGTCAACAAAATGTCATGCAAATATCGAAGTCCCTAGAAGCCATAATGTTTTTGTCCTTCCTCGAATTTTTTTGCATCCTTTCAGATAAGGGTGTAAGCAAGTCAAGCCTACTCGCAAGCTACTTCGACTCAACTCCAGTCTCCAAGAATATTCAGATTTGACTGTACACAATTCAGTTGATCTTTAGTATAAGCAGCTAAAACTGTCGAGTGAGCTAAGTTTAATCGTGTACACCACACCTTCTACAGTTGAAGGTAAAGCAGCCCAAGGAACACAGAAAGAATAAGTTATTTTTGTCTGTTAGATCAGCATGAGTATCACATCCCCTGATATTTTACACGCTTACAAGTACTGGTATTTAATTACTGTCATAAGGTTATCGCATTCATGACATCGGTGATTGACTCGCCCAACTTAAGCCTTTTTTGGGAACTTGATGGATGGAAAAAGACATCAAACTACTCAAAATTTGAAGTGGCCGCCAAAAACTATAGATAACATGCAAGCAATAAAAACTATTCACACAACCATAGTAAAACATACTTTGGATTTCCTTGCTGTACAGAAGACCCATTCGCTTCAGGTGGTCGTGCATCAGGTTGTTCGCGTGTTGTGAGTACTATAAAATATACGCAAATAATGTGCAAGTATACACAATCGCCCAAGTAATAAAGTGATGAGTGAGTATCGTCTCCACAGGGATTGGAAGGATGTTGAGTAAAGTTTATGCACTATTCTAAAGTAATTAAGTATAGCTAATGGTATTCACAAATGATTATGTTGAAGCAAATGAAATGTGTATGAGTAACAAAAGGAAACGTCATGGCAAAGGAAAATGGTAAAAAACAGTAAATAAATAGAAAATAAAATAAAAAGAAGATAATCCTCACGTGACAAGCTTTCAATGAAATGAATGGTAGGGATTGATCTAAGGATGCTAAACTTATTTCTCAAGTATATTTAAGTTTTCTGGACTTCACTTACTCGACAGGGCTTTCCTAAAATGTTCTCACAGGAACCTAACAGAATAGGATGCCAAGGCATCTGCTCTCACTCAACGATGTTGGACAGCCTAACCTATTGATAAAGACACCCTTTTTAGTCGTTGAAATCATATCCTAGTCTCTTCCGAGTTCTAAGGGATTAGGTTATAATATTCCTAGGCCGGTTCAAAGCCCCTTGAAAATACCATAACCCATTGCTTATGAGGATCTTATCTTGCGTTTCTTCCGAATACTTACAAGTATTTTTAGCTTTGGATTCTTCCGAACACCTAACCTTCATCTAAGAAATAGACATTTCCATGCCTCTTACAAGCTTAGATGGTGAAGCATTCACAAGCAAACAAATAAAGAACCAAAATAAACTTAAATATACCATTAAAAATAAAGTTTAAACATCCATTAAACCAACCACCACCAAATAAGTTAGTTCATGGTACGGTTCGAAATATTCATAGAAAAATCCATAAAATATTCGTTCCAACAACCCACAAATAAATAAATAAAAATAACAACAAAGGGAAGTGAGAAAGAGCATTCGACGCGCGCCACCGGAGGTCTCCTCGGCCACCACGAACCGCCTTAGCTCGCTAGCTCCTCTCGGCGCCTAGCTCGCCACTCCTTGAAGCTTTATCAATGGAGGAAAACCCAATGAAGAAGAAAGGAAAAGGGAAAATAAAAATATGATTTTTCTGCTACAATATGTGTCTCATTTCTTCCACACACTCTCTCTCTTGTGCACCCCTCATACCCCTAAAATCACATGTTGTGCATGAACCTTATCCTCCAAGTGTCAGTGGTCCCCTAGCAGGTGTTACAACCATCATTTCACGTGCAGAGCCAGCTGTCCACGTACAGCTGTATATTTTAAAATACACAACCACCACAAATGCAATTACATGCAGCTACATACATCTAAAATGACTTATATGTACCCTTAACAAGCAATAACTTAAGTCAAAAAGGCCTTAAAAGTAGTCTTTTTACAGAGTTATCACACCCCCAAACTTGAGCTATTGCTTGTCCTCAAGCAATGGATAACAATTAACACAATCAAAATGTCATGGCAATTTCAACAGTAGGACAGCAAGACAAAAATTGAATTTCAACCCTCAGAAAAATCGGCTTCTACATGCTAGACATATCAAGAATTCAAGTACTTTTCCCTAGGTCAAGATTCTTTATGGTGTTGTGTGTGTGATTTATTGTATCTAATTTATACTTAACGAATTTAGGCAATTTCTAATTGAGTTCCCTAGTTTTGCCACGGCATTAACTCATTCATTAAGCACATTTATACTCCCTTTTCACTTACTACACATTTTTTTTCTTATTTTTTCACTTTTTTTACACTGCTACGAAGGGAGTCAGTCATCACACACCTACCATCCACACTCTAGGTGAAAGGGAGCATACCTTCCACCCCCAAGCTAGTCAGACAGAGTCATCCCGTGACTACTTTCATTCACTCGTATGCGCGTGGCTGCCATTTATTAAAGAGAGTTCCAGGCAATGCCACGACAAAGAGGAGTATCCCTCTACAGCTATGCCGAAGCATTTATTCACGATTAAACAAAATTCAGAGATAAGGGAGTTTTTTTTAATTGATTTATCATTTAAGCATAATACATATTTTAATGCCAAGGCTAACCAGAGTTCTTCA